GTGTACTGTGTCAATGGAGCCCCTACTCGGACTCTCACCACTTTAACTTTAGTTCTTGTCCTGCTGCGTTTCCCCTACCGCTGCCGAGCACTGTTTAAGTATAACGGTGACCAGATTTGAAGGGATGGCTTTTTTTGTCAGTGTCAGACGCCGCAAGTCACTGCCCGAAGCGCCGGATTTCGATGATTTCGGGGTGAGACCAGGTTGCTTTGTACACTGAGTCCATTTTTTTCGTCCGAAATTGTTGCACATCTAAAAATTTTGATTTTCTGCGTTTTTTGCATCCGTCAAATCCGTCAGTCTGACCAAGAATCGATGAAGAAGATGTGGTGGTGGGCCACAGCTGCGACAAGACAGAGGAAGGGGCGCGCAGAATCATTTCATAACTCACATAGCTCATGTTCAACAGGTCAGATAGTAATATTCAGGTGGATGATGATGAAGAGGAGGAGGATGTGGACTGCGTACAGAATGTGGAGGCAGAGAGGAAGCACAGTTTTGCCCCTTCATGCAGCTGTGATGACAGCCAGAAAGGTAACTCCAGTGATAACAAAGGCCCTAACCATCAGGGTCCAGGTCTGACAGAAGTATTGCGCATGATCCAGTTGCTATTGTAATGCTTCCTTAGATGGAGCTGAGAATATTCATCATCATCATCTGCAAAAGGCAGGCATTAATTTCTGTGTCAGAAAGGCTGAGACCGGGGATATCTGACTGTTCTAGTAATTTTGCTAGTTCATGAATATAAATGTTAAACATGGTGGGGCTGAGGCTGCAATTTATATCCATGGTTGTAATACATCATAGGTTTTCCCTACTACATCTTTTTTAATTAATTTAAGGAGCAGTTCTTTATGCCTAATTGAATCACATGCTTTTTTGAAATCCACAAAACAAGAGAAGATTATGTTCTTGTTTTGGTGGACATGTTTAGTAATGAGGGTGTGGAGAGTATAGATATGGTCTGTAGTTCAATGGTGTAAATCTATGACTCTTGCTCAGGACATTGTGTTCACTGAGGAATTCTTGCAGCTGTTGAGGATGCTGCAGAATAACTTCCCCACGTTGCTGCTGACACATGCCTCGGTAATTGTTTGGGTTAAATTAATTTCCATTTTTACAGATTGGTGCGATAATCCTCACTCTATCTCTGTCACACAGTAAGCAGCATCAGCATTGCTGCGCTTAAGCTGTCCGTTATTCAGCTTTTGACCAGGAAAGTCAGATATGTAAATCTCTTCAGTCGTGTCCAGTAAAATGTTTCCCTCTGCAAATATGTAGATCTGACTCAGTGTTCTAACGGCAAGCTAGTGCCTCTCTGTCCTCACTGAATCTGTTAAATATGCACCTCTGTAACCTCATGTAAACAAACCATCAGCTGTGAGCTCAAGATTGTACTAACCACTTAAAAGATGGGTACTTTTACTGTCTTTCTGTAGTTGGTACTTTTTAAAAGACAAAACACACATTTTGTATTGTGGTATTTACTAGAAATGACACAAAACCTAGCCAGCAGAAAGGAGGTCATCAGCAGAAAATTTCAGCTCTGGTTTGCAGGTTTGTGGTTCGGGTTCGCGTCACTGATTAATGCATATATCCAGGGGTTCACTAGCGTGCAGTCAGGGTTCACCTGATTTGGAGTTGGATAAGTTTTTAAGGTCTCTTCCCCCAGAGAGTCGTGTGCCGTTACTGAGGCTATGCTAGCTGCAGTAAATCCCGCCAACTTGTAGGTCAAACCACAATCGCCATGTTTCAAGCCATAATTTTAAACCAATTATGGATTTTTTTTTTTTTTTTAATTCTATTGTAGACTGTGAAAAATATTGGACGCAGGCAGAGTGATGTCAACCACTGGTTTGTAGACTCCTGTTTTGACAACCTGATCACACTCCAAAGATGTTGAAAACTAGCGCTTCTGGCGTCAGACACCAACACAAAAAGCCGTCCTGTCACGTCAGCATGATACACAGCTGGTCACTGTTATTGTTTGGCATCAGTGAAAGTCCAAGTAAGGCGGGTGGGAAGGGTGGGGGATGGGTCCAACAACTATCATCCTACTGCTCCACATTTTAAATATGATTCCTTCTCTGCCGTAGTTATTTCTTGCTGCCGACCTGCGTGCCCTCCACCTCCCCATCACCATGTAGTCTTTACGGATTCATCAGCCTCATCAGTCAGCAGCCTCAGAGTCATCAGCCACCAGCACCACCAGTGTCTGGACTCCATGGGGGGATTTATCCTGCTGCTGCTCAGATGTCCCTCGATCACTAAATATCTCCCTCTGGTGTTGAAGCACCAAAGACTTGTGTTTAATCTTAATCAGCACAAATCATCTGTTAATCTCTACATTTTAAGTCCATTCCATAAGTTCATTCTTCTGTCTCTCCTGATTGAAATAAAGCTGTCAGTGTAAAACTCTTAAGTGTAAGAAATCGAGCAAGGGTGCATTTTATCCCTGTGAATTCAACTTTCCATTTGTAAGAGTAGTGATGTGTTTTCTTCAGTTTCAAAGGTTACATAGTCTGGCTTTAATTGGTCACACTGAAGCCCAGTTGCCAGAAGAAAATATAGGCATTGTATGTTTCTACAAACCACAAGTGCATTACATTTGCATGTTTCAAATGAATTATAATCAGGGTTTGTAAAGTGATGTGAGCTCACTTTGTCATTGAGAGGTGGAGGGGAGCGGGGTCATGTCACCTTGACAAAATTCCTGCCAAGCTGCAGACCTCCTTCTGAGACAAATAACACAAGTTCTGTAGTTGTTATTTAATGAGTCACTGTTGTGTTTCAAGTTGCTTTTCAGCCACCTTAGAGAGAAAGAAAGAAATAGAGAAATTGTTTTTTGTACCTAAACCAAACCACACAGCCACAGCGGTTAAATTTCAATTTAAGCAATAATTCAATAAGCACAGGTCCTGTATTGACCATATCTATACAGTGACCACAGTTAGAGCAAGAATTCAAGAGAAGAAACCAACTTATGCATGCTTTATAGACTTCCAAAAGGCTTTCGATTGGGTTAATAGAGATTTGCTTTTCTTTAAACTAACCCAGTATGGTGTTGATGGAAAATTTTATAAAGCCATAAAGTCATTATATCAGGCTCCTATAGCGTGTGTCCAAGTGAATGACTCGACTACAGGTTGGATTAAAAACTCTGGACTAGGTGTAACTCTGGACGATGTTGTTTTGGGTTGCTTACTTTATGCGGATGATTTAATTCTTCTGGCAGTGTCAGGCGACACCTTACAGAAGATGTTGAATGTTGTTCTCTGGTGCTCTAAATGGAGGCTTGTGTTCAACCAGACTAAAACCCAGATTATGCACTTCAGAAAAAAGGGTACTGCAAGATCCTCACAGAACTTTCTACTGGGTGTTATACCTTTGGAATTTACCGATTCTTATAGATACCTGGGCTTTACTTTGGATGAATTCATGTCTTATGATGTGGGGATTGGAATACTTGCAGACTCTGGGGGAAGAGCTGTAAGGTCAATAATTAGTAAAAAGATATTTTGTAAAGATACTGGTTACTCCACGTTCTCGCAGCTTTATGAAGCTTGTGTATGTCCAGTTCTCATTTATGCAGCTGGAGTATGGGGTAACAAGGATGCTAAAAAAGTAAATTCTAATCAGAACAGGGCCATAAGATGTTTCCTCGGGGTACATATTTGCCCCCAGTCTTGCAATACAGGGAGATATGGGATGGGAGCCTATGGAAATTAAACAAAAGGGAGAAATGATACGGCTGTGGAATCACGTTATTAATATGCCAGAGAGTAGACTAACAGAAAGGGTTTTCAACTGGGATAAGGCTCACAGTCACCCCTGGACAAAGGAAATTCTTCGTATTTTTAGGGAGGCTGACCTTGCGTACATTTTTCATAACATGCTTTGTTGTAACGTCAATATGTTGAAATGGTCAAATCACATATGGCTCAAGCCCAAGCTTAGATCATATGTTCAAATGAAGCTTGAAGAGTTTTGGCCCTGAACCCTACGTTACTTCCTTTCTAACCAGAAGCCAGAGGTCACTGTGTGCTCAGCTGAGAGCTGGTATCCTAGCCCTCGCTATTGAAGTGTGGCAGTTCACTGCTGTACCTGAAGACAATAGGATATGTAATGTCTGTGATCTAAAAGAGGTTGAAAATGAATATCAATTTATGTTTTATTGTTCACAGTATAAGGAATTAAGGGTTCCCTTGTTTGATGAAATGCAAAAACAAAAAGCTGATTTATTTTGGGCGGATGATGGTCAGAAGTTGGAGTGGTTATTTAAGACTGAGGTTTTTAAAACTGCTCATTTCATTTTCAAAGCCTGGAATAGAAGGCAATCCTTGCTCTTTAAGTGAGATATATCAATGGATTACATTAGGGTTCACTGTCCTAATCATGAGGACTGTTGTGTTTACGTTGTACTATTGTACATCTGTTTTGTATCTTGGTTGTTTCCTAATTGTATGTTTGATCATTGTTTCTGTTTTTGAGATAAAGTGTTTTATAAGCCCATAAGGGCTGGGCTTCTTTCAAGCATGACACTTAAATAAAGAAATCAAATCAAATCAAATATATCTCCTACATAATGATGATGTGCAAGCATAATGTATCTCTGGTTTGCAGAAACTACAAAGCCAAGATTTTTTCTGGTGATTGGGTTTTCGATTGCTAAAGAAGGTATAGATCATGCTCTGTCAGTTTCATTTCCTCTGCAGTAAAGGGTGTCAGTAAGAGGTATTAAATAGTGAAATGTGATTATAATGATTTGTGTGCACTATAAATAGATTCAGAGCTAAATGTAATCACATCATGTCTGACCACAGAGGATAAAATATACATAAATCACATTGATGTATATACAACGTCAGCAAAGCGGTCATTGGTCTTTCACCTGGAGTCAGCTGAGTATACACACACACACACACACACGGAGCAACAGCTGAAGCAGGAGTAGCAGCAGCACGTTCAGATGATGGATGAAGGAGAAGGCACAACATCCGGACGCACTTGCAGGTCACAGAGGAGGAGCTGTCATCTCTGAACCGACACCGATTTTTTTTTCCCTGCTTGAAAGCAAATTGGTCTCAGGGGCTGAAGACGCGGGTCGGGATGGCGACAGCCTCGACAGACTCAGGACACGGGTCCACCAAGATAACTCCTGAGATGCTCCAGGAGATGCTGCAGAACTACAACCTGAGCCGCCAGGAGTTTATCAGCACTTACAACATCCAGCCGCTCGTCTACATCCCCGAGTTACCGTACAGCGCCAAGACCACCTTCGTGATCATGTACATGGTCATTTTCATCCTGGCGCTGACTGGAAATAGTTTGGTGATCTACATTGTTGTGAAGAAACGAGCGATTCAGACGGCGACAGATATTTTTATTTGCTCTCTGGCGGTCAGCGACCTGCTCATCACTGTGTTCTGCATGCCTTTCACCCTGCTGCAGAACATCCTGTCTGAGTGGTTCGGAGGTGAGTTTGGAAAGCGCAAAACTTACTTTTCATACTTTTTTGAGACGCATAGGAATTAGACTATGATTTGGACATTAAAAGAAAGTCAATTTATCCGCTTGTTGGCTCTTGATAATCTGACTAAAGTGGGGAAATAAGAAAACTATATGAAATATTGTCTTTTAAATGCATGAATTGCTAAATGCATCAGGATTTTCAAGCTTAATAAGAATAAACGCCATAAAATCAGAGAAAACCCCCGCGTTAAAAGTAAATGTTACATCACACAGGCTACACAGAGTATTAAAATGGATTTATATATATTAAAGTCGTGTTGAGTGTACTTGATTACTATTTTAAGCAAACTTGAATAAATACAACTGCTTGTGTGTTTTCATACATGCTGTCAGGGGCGTCATGCAAGCCAAAATTCTTGGGACACAATTAGATGGGGGGTCGGGGTCCCTCCGCAGGAAAAAAAAAGATTGAAATAATGATTATTTTTTTTTTAATATAAATATATACATTTTTAATTTTAATGACATTTATTTTTTAATTTTTTGGGGGGCAATTTGACATAATTACTTAAAAACTTCACTATGCGTTTTTCTAGCTCAGTAATCTCCTACTTTATGTCAGGGTTAACACAGTATATTTATTTTAGAGATTTATGTGCTGTTATGCTTATTAAAAATGACACCTGTTCACCCACTTCTACTGCTGCCACTGCTCTGGAAACAAAGCCAAATCTTGCCAGCATCACCCAAAAGTGCAAGAGCATAAATCCACATGAAAAGACTACATCTAAAATGCAAATTAACTGGCATGCAAAATAAAGCCCCAGATGCAAGGAACCTGCCCACATGGTCACAGCTGTATTTTCCAACACACTGCATTTGCATTTATTATTTCTAACTAAATTACAAGTGGCTGAATAATTAGTTTAGCGACTGAACTTTGTGTAGTAATATAGTGGAAGCTCTCTGAGGCTCCTCTCACCCTTTAAAGGCACAAAATGGTTTAGTCTGCCACTGCACTGGGATTCGTCTCTAAACGCAGTTACAGCTGAGTGAGTGGCTGCCCATGCTGCTGGAGCATCAGTATACACTGTCATGTTATTTCCTAAAAATTCCAAAAATTAAAAGAAATAATCGAAAGGAAAAAAAATCTAAAGGTGCGTGACAGAAACATGGATCAAGAGAGGAAGAGCTGGGGGCTCAGAATTTGGTGCTGCACCCCTGACTGCAGTGATCAAGGCACGAGCCAGCTATCTTGAAAAGCAAACTATGCCTATATTTCTCAAATGCAGATAAGCGTCTATAACTAATTTCTAGTTATTAACTAGTTTCACTTTGACAGCATGTGGCTATCTGACTCTCCATCTGTGGAGCAATTGAAAAGCAAAGAGTAAATATATTCCAGGAGCACACCTTTATTAACACTCCAGCAATAGACAATGTAAATGTGGCAGCCCACCACGAATAAATGAATGTGTGCAAACCCCTGCAAATAGCTTAATTGGGTACTGGTGACAATGGGGCGGATTTATTCAACCTAATTTTATGTTTATGCCTGATTGCACATGCATAAGCTCATGTATTGTTTTATACAGGGATTTTAATGCCTTTTTAGGTCTTGACCATTTTTTTTGCTGCATTTAAAGTGTTACACTTCAATAGTAATTGTTAATTTTGAAATGTTTACAAAGTTGCTGGGGCAAAAAATATTCTAATAATAAATAATTCATTACATTTACATTTAAGTATTTGTCACATTTTGTTTTACAAAGTTAGGGAGGCAATGTTTAAGTCAAGCCTGATGTTGCCTTACTCATAAAAGAATGATTTTGTGAGGTATGATCTGACATAGTAGGAAGAATACAGTACAGGCCAAAAGTTTGGACACACCTTCTCATTCAATGCGTTTTCTTTATTTTCATGACTATTTACATTGTAGATTCTCACTGAAGGCATCAAAACTATGAATGAACACATGTGGAGTTATGTACTTAACAAAAAAAGGTGAAATAACTGAAAACATGTTTTATACTCTAGTTTCTTCAAAATAGCCACCCTTTGCTCTGATTACTGCTTTGCACACTCTTGGCATTCTCTCCATGAGCTTCAAGAGGTAGTCACCTGAAATGGTTTTCCAACAGTCTTGAAGGAGTTCCCAGAGGTGTTTAGCACTTGTTGTCCCCTTTGCCTTCACTCTGCGGTCCAGCTCACCCCAAACCATCTCGATTGGGTTCAGGTCCAGTGACTGTGGAGGCCAGGTCATCTGCCGCAGCACTCCATCACTCCCCAACAGTGTCACCAGCAAAACACCCCCACACCATCACACCTCCTCCTCCATGCTTCACAGTGGGAACCAGGCATGTGGAATCCATCCGTTCACCTTTTCTGCGTCTCACAAAGACACGGCGGTTGGAACCAAAGATCTCAAATTTGGACTCATCAGACCAAAGCACAGATTTCCACTGGTCTAATGTCCATTCCTTGTGTTTCTTGGCCCAAACAAATCTCTTCTGCTTATTGCCGCTCCTTAGCAGTGGTTTCCTAGCAGCTATTTGACCATGAAGGCCTGATTCGCGCAGTCTCCTCTTAACAGTTGTTCTAGAGATGGGTCTGCTGCTAGAACTCTGTGTGGCATTCATCTGGTCTCTGATCTGAGCTGCTGTTAACTTGCGATTTCTGAGGCTGGTGACTCGGATGAACTTATCCTCAGAAGCAGAGGTGACTTTTGGTCTTCCTTTCCTGGGTCGGTCCTCATGTGTGCCAGTTTCGTTGTAGCGCTTGATGGTTTTTGCGACTCCACTTGGGGACACATTTAAAGTTTTTGCAATTTTCCGGACTGACTGACCTTCATTTCTTAAAGTAATGATGGCCACTGGTTTTTCTTTAGTTAGCTGATTGGTTCTTGCCATAATATGAATTTTAACAGTTGTCCAATAGGGCTGTCGGCTGTGTATTAACCTGACTTCTGCACAACACAACTGATGGTCCCAACCCCATTGATAAAGCAAGAAATTCCACTAATTAACCCTGATAAGGCACACCTGTGAAGTGGAAACCATTTCAGGTGACTACCTCTTGAAGCTCATGGAGAGAATGCCAAGAGTGTGCAAAGCAGTAATCAGAGCAAAGGGTGGCTATTTTGAAGAAACTAGAATATAAAACATGTTTTCAGTTATTTCACCTTTTTTTGTTAAGTACATAACTCCACATGTGTTCATTCATAGTTTTGATGCCTTCAGTGAGAATTTACAATGTAAATAGTCATGAAAATAAAGAAAACGCATTGAATGAGAAGGTGTGTCCAAACTTTTGGCCTGTACTGTATGTTTGACTTAAATGATCAGAACTGCATATTATGAAAAAATAATACCAGTAGTAATGACATAAAACATAATTAAAAGTATTAGAAAATGCAGATATCAAAACTCGGGTGGGGCGATATACGCTGGCAACATATCAAGCAAGTCAAACTTCCATATTTTTCTGCTCATTATTGCATTTTTGCCTCATAGCAGCCCACACTTCTGAGGCTGATGTATTTTAGAAATTCTTCCATAACTGCATCTGTTTGCTAAATCTAAATCAAGCAGCAATTGGTTACACTTTTCAAGTGCTGAAAATAAAAAGCTGTCAACAATAAATGTTAGTTTTTTATTTAAAAATTTTAAGCCCCTTTTTAACCATTTCAAGACACACTTTGGGAACAGATAGAAAGAGTACTGTAGGTCTTGTGAATATGTCCCAGAGTGTAGAAGGTAGCTTCCTGTATTTTTCAGATGGATAAAGTTTCATAGATAAAAAGGAAGCCACATAAGGACTGCCTTTTAAGGTCCTGAAATAACAGAATTGTGTTATTAATGGTTTGTTAAAGGGGAAACTTTGCCAATTTTTATCCAGCTCTGTGTCATGGCAGTATGGACAATGTGTGCAGATGTGCTTCCTCCCTTGCCGCAAGCTCCCAGAGCCCCGTTCATCTGCCGGAAGAAGTCTGCTTGGTGACACAAACTGCGTCATCGAAGTCTGCCAGCAAATGAGCAGGGAGGTCTTGGTGCCCGCTTCACAAAAGAGAGCCAAATGCTGTTCATTTGCAGACAGTGCACACTTTTCCCACGCTGTGATGACACAGAGCTGGTTGACAATCAGCAGTCTGAGAGACCACTGTTTCATGTCATGAGGAATCAGTCAGTCAGCTTGGTGGAGTGGGCGGTCTGGACCCAGGTAAAAATGTTTACTGATGATAATGAACTGCATTTTGGAGAAATCAGATACTTCCACCATCACAGAAGACCTTCAGTGTGGTACAAACACAAACCAGAAAACTCAAGTGATGATAATTACATGTTGAAAAGAGCATCAGGACCTGATAATTAACATAAACATCCTGTGCGCACAAAGTAATGAACATGGCTGTAGGGTTTGGATTAGACTTGCACCGATTTATCGGCAGTGCTCTGAATCGGGCCGGTTATCACATGATCGACCATTACCTGTGACCGGCCAGTCAGTCTAAAATATGCTGACTTAAAACACCGGTCAGATTTCCTCCACGCCGCAGCAGCAGCGCACACACGCACATGTGCAACTCATGGCTTGGGCAATGTGAGGAAGTGAAACATGGGCGGCTTCTCATCTTAATCATTCACGCAAGGCAAGCACATATTTTCTTTTAGCACAGGTTTAAATTATAATGACTTAATGCATACCTAATAGGCTAGTTGGCCTCTTGAACCGGACATCTAGAAGAAATCCGCAATTTGCCAAAGCCAACCTTGCACATTACACACTCACGAACGTTAGCTAACATTAATGCTTCTGCTATGGGACTTCCAGTTCTGCCTCCATCTTCGTCGTTAGCAACACCAGCAGCCTCAGCCCGTCGACCAACACCGCGACCCAACAGGTCGGTTATTTTGGAGCACTTTGCTGCCTCTTCTTGTAAAGATTTAGGTTTTTTAATTCAAGTTTTTTCCACGCCACCCTTTCTTTTTTTGTCGGCTTTATCCATGTTTTCAGCACTAACGGTCAAACTAGCCTGGTCTGCCATGAGTAATGACAGATAACCGCGGCTGAGCCAATCAGATTTCAAGAAAAACGAGAGCCTCTTTCGTATTGGAAGAGGCCGCTTTTATCTCCTCCTTCATGCATCAAAACATAAGATTGACACCTACGTTCCCTCTGAACATCTCCCAGCAAACAAACAACACGGGAGGGATGCACATTGCAGCACTGACTGCTAGCAACTAGCTTGACATTCGCTAGTCTTTTTTTTGGTGACTGGCCCATTGGGATTCGGCCCAAACGTCCTGATGGCCAATCAGCCATTGCACAGAGCACAAAAAGTCCCATATCCCTCGCCAAACGTGCAGCAGACTGCTGGGTAACAAAGGAGTTGCACAGGTGCAGCAGATTCCAGTGACTGCAGCAGCAGAAAAGAGGAGACACTCAACTTGTCCCCCTCCTTCTCACACTCTACACTGATCTCTCACCTGGCTTTTCTCCCACCCCAGTGAAATCATTATGACACTCCCACACTAACTTTAAAACATATACTGTATCTGCAATTTAACATGACTTACACTTAATATACACAATGCAAATGACTTAAGCACTAATACAGATAAACTGAAGAAATACCAAACATAAGCCAAACTATCCCCTCTAACCCCTCCCCTCTCTCTTCTCTGATCCTTCAACTGATTCCCTTGTGTGAAGTCCTCTGCTCTAATGAACCATTCAGAGCTGGTGGATGGTGGTAACAGCCAGGTTTATTCGCCTCGTGGAAAACCCTACTCCTCATAACTCTGGGATAAATAGCAAACAACAACAGTGATAAGGCACCTAGTGTGGAAAACCCGCTCATGCTTTATCTCACGGAAAATCCTCTGTAGCTCTGAAAATTACCCATAATCCTCAGCTATTTACTACTTGACTTAGATACTGAGTTTTGACAGCAGGTGGCACTGTTGCTCCATTTAAAATGAATATAATCTGAATTTTAAGCATCTCAACAGCATAGATACACTGATCAGCCAAAACATTAAAATCACTGACAGGTGAGCATTTTGTTACAATGCAGTGTTTTGCTGAGAAACCTTTGGTCCTGGCATTCATGTGGATACCACCTGACACGTTCCACCCAAACAAACACCGTTGCAGACCAAGGACACCCCCAAGCAATGGCACCCTACAATGGTAGTGGCCCCCTCCACAGCAGGACAATGCACCATGCCACACCGCAAAAGCTGCTCAGGAATGGCCTGGGGAATGTGACAAAGAGCTCAAGACATCAAGCTGGCCTCCAAATTCCCCGGATACCATCTTGCTTGAGTATTTGTGGTACATGCTGGTACAGCAGAGACACCCGCGAACCATGGTGGGGCCTCCTTGGTTCTGACTTGTCGAGACATGGACACAGGACCTCTGGGAGTGTCCTGTGGTGTCTGGCACCAGGGCATTGGCAGAAGATCCTTTGAGTCCTGTGGGTTACGAGGTGGGGTACCAGGACATTCCACAGATGCTCAATCGGGTTGGGATTTGGGGAATTTGGAGGCCAGGTCAACACCTTGAGGTCTTTGTCACGTTCCTTGGGTCAGTCCTGAACAGTTTTTGGGGTGTGGCATGAGGCCACATGAATGCCAGGGCCAAAGGTTTCCCTGCAGAACATTATATTGTAACAAATAATCTATGTTATTCACTTCATCTGTCAGTGGTTTTAAATGTTTTGGCTGATCGGTGTATATCTTAGACCAACCGGGTCTCACTCCGAAGTTGTCAAAATCCGGCGCTTGGGCAGTGACTTGCAGTGTCAGACACCAACGAAAAAAGCCGTCCTTTAATGTCGTTATGATACGCGGCTGGTCGGCATTATAGTTTAATGGTGCTTGTTGGCATCAGGGGGACACTTGGCGAAACAGGAACGAAAGTTAAGGCGTCGAAAGTCAGTGTAATAATCGCTGACCTTCACCTGGGAGGCCAGTGTTCGCGTCCCTTAAGATTATAAAGCCAAACCCTATTAATTCTTCTTAAACCCAACCACGTTCGTTAGTTGTCGTAGGAAAAAAATGTCAGTTCCGACGCACTGATGTAGTGCATTTGCAGACTGTATGTAAACATTAAATTTCCTGTGAAAATGGAACGGTAATTTGAAAGGAGGCAATGCACGAAACGGGCAGAACTTGACCTGGCATCCCAGAATGACCAACGCACCCAGGGGACCTTTCACATCGTGTCTGGACGTGGAAAGTCCATGACCAAATGTCAATATGTGAAAAGGTCAGAGTGAGAATGTGTTGTTTAGACCAACAAAATGAATAGAATTTGTGGAATAGGTTTAAAAAGGAATTGTGGTATACACTTAATTAATTTAAAATATATCCAAAATGAAGGTAATTAATAAAGCCTATCCCAGGTGACATTGGGCGAGAGGCAGGGTACACCCTGGACAGATCGCCAGACTATTGCAGGGCTGACACATAGAGACAGACAACCATTCACACTCACATTCAAACCTATGGACAATTTAGAGTCACCAATTAACCTGCATGTTTTTGGAGGAAGCCGGAGAACCCAACGAAAATCCACACTGACATGGGAAGAGCATGCAAACTAAACCTTCAGACTACACTGTTTCAGTCAACGAAACTTGCTATGGTTTGTCACTGCTTCAAAAGTAATGACTTATTCTTGTTATGTTTTGTTTTTCCTCCTAGGTGAATTTGAGTTGTGTAAATTGGGAATTATATATAATTTAGTTGTTGTCATATTACAGTATAGTAGATTGTGTAAATGGTTGTAAATGACTGCATTACATTACATTCAGATGCCTTTTTGTCACTGTGTCCACCAGGTGGACTCCTGACATTACACAGCCACTCTTCTACAGCCTCTACAAAGAGCTGAGTCAAAACATCTTTGCCTCAGGGTCAACAGAAACTTTGCAGATAGAATATTATCACATGGCCATCAGGGTGGATTTCATTGTATTTCACAGTTCACAACATTATCACCATGCCTCAGTATACAACAGGGAAACTTTATAGAGATGTAGCTAACAGCTGACATTCAGTGTATCATGGCAATAGAGGGCCAGCTCAAAGCATGTGCTCCTATTAGACTTGGTCACAATTAGTTCAGGGTGATGTGGGTCTTACAGACAGTGCGCATTTCCTCCTGGGTTTCAGCGCTCTGCTTCATTAGCTGTGAAATTTGTGTTCAAGAGTAATCAGAGATGATCGTTTTGCTATTTTAATGAAACCGCGCAGGCAGATGAAAAAGGACAAGGTAGAGCTCGTCTCCAGTCTCTCATCAAACAGTAAGAATGGTGTGATATTTAATAGAAATGTCTTCTTCTGTTTCTCAGAACCTCTTTGTTTCTTCTGTTTTTCATGCAGGGGTTCTGGTTTGCAAGACAGTTCCCTTTGTGCAGACTACAGCCATTGTGACAGGCATCCTCACAATGACCTGCATTGCCATTGAGAGATACCAGGGCATTGTGTTCCCACTGAAGATGAGGAGGCACTACTCATCTAAAAGGGCTTACAAGATGCTAGGTATTCCATGTTTGCAAGAGTGGCTTATTATGTTTTAGAGGTGTGGATGTTTTTGTGTGTTTCAGGAAACCTGTGTTTTGTGAGCAGGATAAAGGCTGCACGGATTTATCAAAAGTAAATACCCACTGTGTTAAGCCTCTTTTGTATGGCTTTGAGAAAGTACAAGTGTGCACGATGGTTACCTTGTGTACCCTGCGTTTCCTCTGCTTGTTATGCCAAATTAAAACTTTGTTTTTGTGAGATCCAATTAAAGCTGGATTTATACATGTGAGATTCGGTTAGTGTGTACTCCAGCCTAGTGTGCTGAAAGCTGACTGGTTGATCAAACTTATTATCAGCTGGTTTGAGACAGAGACAAAAGACTATAAGCCCCGTTTCCAATGAGCAGTCCGGTTCAGTTCAGTTCGGTATGCCTTTTTTCCATTTCCAATGTGAGAAGTTGTGGATGGTGCCAATGGAACAGTTCATTTCTGTCCGTATTTTTGGTCCCCCCTCTGTTGGGGTACCTAACACCCAAATCTGGTACTAAAAGGTGGGGCTAGGTGGCTTAGTGGATAGAGCAGGCGCCCCATGTACAAAGGCTTTGTCCTTGCTGCAGTGGCCCAGGTTCAATTCCATGCCTTACTACATGTCAATCCCCCTCTCTCCCTCCCTCACGCAGGCAAAAACACCCAAAAAATAATAATAAAAAAATTATAGCTGCTGCGCAGGGATGGGTCGGGTCCGGGCATTTTTAGGCAATTATGGGCAAAAAGCAGAAGAATTGGAAGACATTTAGGAATTTAGCAACACAATCTGCCTTTTGCATCAGCTGAGGCTTGAACTCACAACCTCTGCGACTAAGAATCAATTTCTATCTCACTGAGCTAATCAGTCATTGACAATTCATGTGTAGCTTCACAAATTGACTAAGCCAGACGTGCAGGTTTAGCAGCCGTCCATGCATGGAAAAGTAGATTTCAAACCACTGTAAAAAATTCAGTTATCGAAACAAAAATCTGAAAATACACATATTGCATCTAGACAGCATGGAGATGTTGGTAATTTGTTTTAACAATGATTGATTTGCTTCATAAGTGAAAAACTGATGTTTAACTAGTTGAGGTATGTGCAAAGTGAGAAGCCTCAGATGGTTTCACACTGAAGTATTGACACTGGATCTTTGTGCAAAGTTTGGTTTATTTTCAAGCATGAGAAGGCAGATTTTCTAGCAGAAAAAAGACTTGAAGATGCTGAACATCGATGAGTCAGGCTCAGGCAATTCTAAGCAATAAACTGGAGCACAGGAAGATGATTAAGATGTTTACATTACAATGTGGATTCTGCACCAGTTGAGGCTCGAACCCGCAACCTCTGGAACCCTAGACGGTCATCTACCGTTTTAAGCTAATTGGCAAGTAGCAACTCAACAGTGGCTTCACAAACTGAGTGAGGCATTCACTGTTGTGTAGGAAAGCAGCCATCTGTGCATGGAAAGGCAGATTTGAAACCACTGTAAAAAATTCAGTTATTGAGACAAAAATCTGAAAGTACACATATTGCATCTAGACAGCATGGAGATGACTCCAATTGTTCACATTAGAGCAAAATTCAAAATGCTGTCAAAAATTCAGTTTTTGAGATAAAATTCTGAAATTTGCCACACATCATCTACCATGAATTTTGTCATTTTTTTCATGAACATTGAAGATTTATTTAGCAAGAATTTGCATGTATATGTTTACAGTACCGTTTACAGTCAAACATTTTGATGCACTGTAGGCTCAATTTTTGATAAATCAAAAAACCTGAGAAACATAGTTTGTGTAGAACAGTCTGAAGTCTTTACTGTTTTTGAAAAAAACAGAGTGATGAACTTCATAATTTTTAATAGGTTTAAATGTACAATAGTTTCTTCAGTATTGGGGCTACAGTTTGATGAAGGTTGTGAAGTTGTAGCACATACGGTTGATTTGTTATGAATTTTCAATTTTTGAACTTTAGACGCTTGCTGTAGCGCCACCGTCAGGACTATTGGCTTGAGTTTACAGCTGAGGATATCTGGCATGAGACTGGACCTTTGTGCAAAGTTTGGTGAGTTTTCACCCATGGGAAGTATGATTTCCTCGGAAGAAGAAGAAGAAGAAGAAGAAGAAGAAGAATACCTAGGATTACAATAGTGTCCTGGCAGCTTAGCTGCTCGGACCCTAAAAAGGTGGAGCTAGAAATACTGCAGTCCGTTGATTCATCAATAGTAATAATTTGATTTATGGTGCAATGTTTATTTGTAATGTTACACAGTGAGGTGACGATGTGAAACCATCAGCACACCTTAAATTTCACTGTGACAACTTTGACCATTACTTTAGTTTCTGTTGTCTCTCTTGGATGACACAGACTTTTAATAATGAGTGAATCTTCAAGCGTTTAAAAATATATATTAATTTCGACCGGATTATGTGACCTGCATATATTCAAATCCTCGCTCAGAGAAAAAAAAAAAAACATCATGGAATGTTCCTGTGGGCTACAGCCTCACTAAACCCCTGAGCTTGCCTGAGAAGGACTAAATGCACAAACCCGCTATTTCTAAATATCCCATGGAGAGAGACTCTCACTGCAGCCTGTTTTATTATGTTCTGAAAATGTCGGTGTGCAGCCTCGTTCTGTGGACGATAAACAAGGTGCAGACTGATAAAGGAGGAAATACAATGAGTGCTGGACGGAGCAGTGAGTGACAACAACCCTGCCCACATTTAAGAGTACTGTTTGTGGTGGAAAGGCTAGGGTCTAGGTACCATGTCTGAAGGATTACTTTTGGTTCCAAAGGTAAATGCCAGCGGCATATTTCTATTGGCTTTTTCTTCGGGTTTTGTTCAGCAGAATAATCCTTACAAATAAACACCTCTTTTGTAATTTTTGAAACCTACATGTAATCTAAAAAAAAGTAAAGTAAAAAGCTAATGTTAGGCTATAACTGAACTACACCATGGTCGCATCACTTCAACATCCCTTCTACATCAAGGCTGTAAAGCCATGTTTCTCTAGTCTCACTTAGCCACTTGTTAGCAACCATCTTTTTGAAGACAGAAGCTTCAAAATTTGTTGACATATTTTATGTTGAAGAGCAAAACATGAAAATCGCACAAGCTTGTTTTAATCACAGACCTTATTTCAGACATCTAATAAAAATCCCATTCAAAATACCCATTCACTTTGAGACGAGGGAACCAGAGGTGCTAAAATGTGAACTCATTCATGCACCACTCCATACCCAAAAGTAAGACGAACTATGAAAGAGAAACCAGTTATTCAAATCCTGAATAACTGCTGTGCACATTCGCCCACATACAGAAGGAGAAGCATGTTCCGGTCTTAATGTCTTGAACGTTGGGGGCAGGATGTTGGGATGTTATCAACAACAAACAGAGAACAACTACAATGACAGAAAACTCTCTCTTTGCTATAATGTCCACATTAGAGTCTCATAAGAGTCTTGACTCATTTAGTCTTCTTTTTGTTGTGTGAAATTGGAAGGTTTCAAGGAAAATATTTCCTTTTTATATCTAGATGTAGATCTGGCCCTGATTTGCTGTCTCAAGGTTACACTTTTTGATACTGCAGGTACACAGAAAGTACACAGGCGAGTATGTGAACAGTGCTGCTTGTGTCACATGCATGTTCATAGAAAGCAAGTCAGCAATGGCTGTACATACGTTCAGGGTTATTGTCATATAGTATTCCAGGCTGTTCTCATGCACCGTTTGTACATTTTCCTACAAAAAGTAATGCACTAAAATTCATAGAAGATTGTGTGCAAAAATCCTGCAACAGTGCTTTGAAACAGCCGAGGGAAACCAAAGAGTGCATCTTTAGGTCCTTCTGCAGAGGCTTCCACATATAAGGAGCTGCAGACATAAATGCTTGGTTGCCAAACTCTGTACATATCCTCGGTATAGACTGTAAAAACATGTTCTGAGAACGGAGAGCACAGCATTTTCAATTTGCTTAACGTACACTTATAGATATGCTGGAAGTCGGCCAAGAGTAGCTTTGAAAACAAGATAATGCCATGAAAAAGCATCTTACAGTTTGTAATTAACGTCAATGCACCATGGTACAGAGTCCACAGCATGCAATCACTGGGTGGATGCATTCATATATAATACATCCCCATAACCATGTGCAGTCAGTTTTGGCCAAGAAAGAGAAACAGTTTCTATATCTAAAATAAAAACCCAGTTTCAGGTTCAGCTTTTTTTTTCTTTCGTTACGAGTAGTTCAGTGTGTGGCTTAAAAGAAAGACAACCATCCAACACAATGCCCAGATATTTATAGGATGAAATGCACTCTATGCTCTTGTGCTGAGGTGTAACAGTAGTTGGGAGACATGAAAGCTTCACCTTGGCCTTTGTGAATAACATGCACGTTGTTCTGTCAGCGTTCAAGATGAGCTAAAGACTGAACAGGAACTGTTGAACAGCACTGAATGCTAGTTGAAGCTGGGAGAGGGCCTGAGTCTGAGCAGCAACAGAGCAATAAATAACTGTGTCATCAGCATACAGATGAACACATGCATCATGTACATTATGACAGAGGTTATTTAAGTAAACACTTACACATGGCAATAAATAAAGGAAGTATAGGTGAATGGCAAAAACAAAAAAATGGGAAAGGAAAAACAGTGCTGTCTTAGTAACAACAAACGAAGCTGAAACTAAACTTCAACTTGCCTGAACACTGCAGCTCCAATGACGTCGCTTAGGTGAGACAAAGTAAATTACTATCTCAGAACAAAGCAAGCAAATTTTGTAATGTAAAAGACAATGAAACCTATGACACTGTGGGCTTTCTATCTTATATTCATACTCTTTGATAACCAGGAATAGCTACAGATAGCTACCTATTTTGCAAGGGTTGATGTAATTCCTTTTTGCTGTAAATGGAGCCTTCATTTTCCTAGCAGATCATACCTGTTGGCAGACAGAATGGCAGACAGTGTAGTGAAAGCGGGGCTTATAGGAAACCAGTCTAATCACTGATGGTGTGATTATTCTATAGCCACCACATTGTGCAATCAACATTTACTTAAGTTAAGTTAAAGCAAAAAACTTGCCTATTTCTGCTTTAATTACAAAATGTTAGGGTTTCTTGCCAAAAATGTGTATGTCAAGATTTTTTTTTTTAAACACAAAAACAAATTCCTCACACCAGAAACTGCTCCTTTTGGAAATTTTAATCATATCACCACATGTGACGTTTTGATAGGTGATAAGATAAGGAGACACACTTCTATATATACAACCAATGGTGTGGTAATACATGTAGCGATACAGAAGCCGAGTACAACACACTGTAAAACCAGTACAAAATACATCATAGGAATACAGTACATTTACAAAAAAATACATTAACAAAAAATACATTTACTAAAATGCTGTTATTGCCTAGAGTATCACCTCGAATATTACATGACTGAAACAGCTGAGAAAAAAACGTCACAATGACATGCAAATTCAAGGTGCCTCTTATACTGCAAAAAGTAGTCTCATTAAGAAATACCACAGTGATGTAATAAACAAATCTTGAGCAACATATAAACATCCGTCCCATATGAGTTAGAGCAGAAAACTTGTCTATTTTTGATAACAAAATTTTAGTGTTTCTCGCCAAAAAAAAGTGGGTCCATGTCATTGGTCCGACAACCCATTAGTCCAACGTCCCGTTGTTCCGATATGTGATTATACTAGGCTATACTGTATTTGTGTACCATAGAGGATCAGCAAACGGAACAAGAGTAGGCTACTGGTCGAGATACAAGTGTCATAGAGAGGAGAGAATGAAAAACCATAACCTCCTGATATTAACTCTGGGGTCGGGGTTGTATGGGGAGCTTTCCGCGGTGCTGAATGGCTCCCGGCGGGCGTATTTCTACCTTGATGGTGCACTGCGACCGGCTCTGGGTCAGCTGGGAAAGGCTTGAGTCGAAGCAGGCTCACAGCTTATGTGTTTGCCACTTTCTTTTTCATTTTAACCCACACCATGATCTTTTCCTGACCCTAACCAAGTGTTTTTTGTGCCTAAACCTAACCAGACCTTAACCACGGGGCACCATGATGATTTCGGAAAAACGGGACTTCGGAACAATGGGTTTAATATGGTCGGAAAAATGAGATGTCGGACTAATGGGTTGTCGGAATAATGGGCTGTCCCATTAACCCCAAAAAACTTTATGTCAAAGATTTCTTTATACAACCTGAAATATCAGTATTAGTCATAAGTTATTTCTCAGGCTCAATTAGAAGTGAGAACAAAACCAAATTGTCTCACTGAACTCCACAACAGAATGACAAGTGTGAGCTCTTAACTTAGTCATTTGAAATGGTGAGTCAAAACCTCCATGAATAATATACAGTGGGTCTCGTTTATTTAACATGTTAGTAATTCTGTGAGTAGATTTGCACATAAAATAAACCTTGGTACTAAAAACCTACACCAGATTTATGAATGCCCTGGGAAACTCAGATTTGATTGTAAGCACGTGTGTATGCTCATGAATCAATCCTAAATTATAGTTTATAGGTTTTTTTTGCACAATTTAAACACAAAAAAGGCAAGAAAAATTAATAACGAAATACAGCACAGGGAAAAGCAAAAACCCAGAGGGCTTTTCTTGAGGCCTCCATCTAATAAAATTGCCACAAAGTTATTAAGAACTTCAAAATACAGTAAAGAACAAAACATAAAATAACACGAGTGATAACAACCAACTTATAGCAAAATATGTTTGTTTGTAACAACAACAAAGTGCCATATATGGCTGAAATAATTACTATGGATAGGTACATTCTGTCGACCTGCAAGCATGGAGCAAAAAAAGAAAGAGAAAGAAAAACTTTTCCACACTGAGATTGAAGCTAATTTGAGATAAGTGAGGTTGTTAGTAGAGGTGTGACAGGGACAGGTAAATCAAAGGCCCGAAAGAGGTAAGGCGTGCCATTAACTCTGTGTCCTCTGTTGTAAGAACCATCCAATTGAAATGGTTTGATGTGAAACTTCCCAGTCACAGCTCTCTGCTGCAGATGAGCACATTGCTTGCATCATTAGAGAGACCACTCTGTCAGGGTAGACAGGGACATGCGTCCACTGGAGCAGTCAATAGGAAATTTAGAAGGTATGGTGATGTGCACTGTATAAAGTTCCCTGCTGGAAGATGGTTGACGTCACAGTACAGCCTCTTATTCTGCCTCAGAGACTTTGTGCACATGCTCATTCAATTACAGAGTTTACTGTGTGAATAGTTAATTCCCTTCACATGGCTGGTCTGTTCTGTCCTTATTGTCTGTATCCTTTGTTACAGCACTGTCATAGCATGTCATACACCACTCACATCAGTAACACTGTACCAGCCAAAACTGCCTTCTTCACCAAGTCTGGAAACTTTGGAATAAATGTTTCATCCGAGGGAGGGAAGTTGGCCAGACTATACTCACCCCGCTGCTGTCAAGTGTTAAAGCGCTATTCATTCTGACAGCCATCACTGATAGCTTTGTGTTTCGTCAGTAACGTGGGTCTCGCAGTCTCACCACGCAAATAGAAGATACATTTGTGAATTTCTCTCTGCTGATTGAATCAAGTGGGATCGGGATGTCAGAAATGTAGAAAACACATGTATTAAGATGATTTAAATAAACCCGTTCACATTTTTAAGAGCCCTAATTTGATGTTTAAACCTTCTTAATGCCAATTTATTTAGCTAAATGTGTTATATATGACTAGCAATATTTATGTGCAATCCTTATTTCGAGAAGCACCACGAGCAGTCAGAAGCAGGTATAGATATTCTTAGTAACTACGAAAAGATCGAAGCTAAGATATTGATGAATGCCAAAATACATATTGAGGATAGCGTTAGTTCAGGCAGGACACGATGTCAAGCTCAGCTCACATCCCAGCTACATCAGCTGATCTCAAACAGTCCAATCAACTGATGGATTCAGCTGATAGATCACATGATTTCTTTCTATGCAACCAATTGGTGAATCTCATTCAAGGCGTCCTATTTAAACTACTCTTGCTGCTTCCTCTGCAAGCTGCTTTGCAACCTGCCTCCACCCCAGCTCCTCCTTTTCATGCTGTGTCTGACTTATCAGCGCCATTTCTGTTTGTCATTCATGCTGCTCTGGTCTGTTCTCAGGGGTCTTTACTGCTGCTCTCCCTGCCTTAGGCTTTACTTGTTTGCAGATGGAAGGGCAGGGAGGTGTGCTCTCTCTGCCTTAGGCAGTCCAGGTGGGCATGCAGAAGGGCATACCTTTTAGAAGAGGCTCTCTGCGTATGCCCGGAAAAAGACAGAGAGGCCTTTCCGCCAGATATAATACTGCCAATGAAAATAAAGTTTTCTTTCACTTAAGTGTTCCTGACTGAAGTAAATTTCCTTCTGTGAACAGCTTACACACAAATTTGTTGCCACTGTTGGAGCTGAAAAAAAAATGTGGAAGGACCTTGCAGAGACTTGGCATGGTTGATAGCGTGTGAATTATGTAAAAGAGGAATTTAATTATACAGCAGCTGTGCCTCTGGTTTGACATTGGTCACACACAGGTTCATCCTTGAATATCACCAGCAGCTACTGTTTGTTTCAAACTGTAAGGTTTTATCTGCACATTGTATCTGTTTACCAATGTTTTGCTTGTCTGTATCCTGCAGGGCTGGTATGGGTTGCCTCGGTAATAGTGGGCTCTCCAATGCTGTTTGTGCAACAGCTAGAGGTAAGCACTCGAAGCACCATGTCACACAATTCCTTTCACTGGGTTAAAAAAACTGATTCAGCGCAGGAGGGCATATAATTGTTTTAAATATCAAGATCCAGAAAGACAGTTCAGCATTATCTTGTAACTTTCAGTCCTCCAGATATGTCCTAAAATGCTCCAAATGCTCACCTATAGTGAGCTATAGTTGCTATAGTTTCTGGATGTCATGGACCCAGTGCCCAGTGAAAACAAACAAATCATGCACTGAGAGGATGAGAACTGCTAGCTAGCTTTTTAGCTTGCTGTTTAGTATACCATATAATCCTTCGAAAATGCTGTCACCTCTTTAATTCCAGTCCCTCTGTATTAGGGTGACCATATTTTGATTCCAAAAAAGAGGACACTCGGCCAGCCACGACATAGCCTACTTAAATAATACTCGCAGTTTACTCAAAGATGCCTTAAATTTTAATATATTTAAAATTTATGTGTATGGATAGAAAATTCAGTTATATTACAAAATAATATCTCTCAAAGACAGAAATTCAGATAGGCCCCTATAGATAGGGGACACATACACACACTAGAGTGTGGCGATCCGAGCCCGACGGTACCCGACAGGTCGGGCGGGTTTGGTCAAAAATGTAGCTATAAATTGTATTCGGGCTCAGGTCGGATCCGGTCAGCTTTCAGTGAAAATGTAGTGTAAAAATAAATAAAATCCTATTGTCTGTCCTGTTTATTGCTTGGACACTCGGGCTCGGTTCGGGTTCGGACAGAAATATGCTGCCCGTGCCGCACTCTAACACACACACACACAAACACACGGAAAACCGGACATTATCATCAGTTTATAAAAACTCCCCGGACGCCCCGGACGGGACGTGAAAAGTGGACATGTCCAGGCAAAAGAGGACGTTTGGTCAGCCTACTCTGTATTAGTGTTCTGTCAGAAATCAATTTCATGCCACCAGGCCGGTGATGGCTTTGCCCAGAGGCATTATGTTTTCAAGTTGTCCCTCAATCCATTCTCGTGAATGCAATATCTCAAGAATGCCTTGAGGGAATTCCGTAAAATATGGCACAAATGTACTTAGCGATGAACTGATTAGAATTTGGTGGTCAAATGTCAATGTCACTGTGAAATCGTCCATCTCATTCTTGTAAACACGATATCTCAAGAATACCTCGAAGGAATTTCCTCAAATTTGGCACAAACATCCACTTGGACTTAAAGATGAACCAGTTAGAATTTGGTGGTCGAAGGTCAAAGGTCAAAGTTACTGTGGCTTAATTTTGGCCAAAACTCAAAAATTCATTCACTAATTATGACAAAATTTGATGTGTGACAAAATTCTGTTTGAACAGAGTTTGAATTTGATATGTTTGAATACGGGGCGGCACGGTGGTGTGGTGGTTAGCACTGTCGCCTCACAGCAAGAGGGTTCCCGGTTTGATCCCGGGTGTGGGGAGTTTGCATGTTGTCCCCGTGTCAGCGTGGGTTCTCCCCGGGTACTCCGGCTTCCTCCCACAGTCCAAAGACATGCAGGTTAATTGATGATTCTAAATTGTCCGTAGGTGTGAATGTGAGTGTGAATGGTTGTCTGTCTCTATGTGTCAGCCCTGTGATAGTCTGGCGACCTGTCCAGAGTGTACCCTGCCTCTCACCCAATGTCAGCTGGGTTAGGCTCCAGCCCCCCCGTGACCCCCAAGAGGACAAGTGGTTAGAAAATGGATGTTTGGATGGATGTTTGAGTTTGGCTGGCAAGTGGGATTTAACATGTAGGCTCATGAATCCCAAAGTTTCCATACCTAACTTTTTACCACCTGTGCATAACAAACATATTTACAGAACAAAGAAGAAAGACATTATGATACAAACAACACAAAGCAAACTCAAGCTGTCATATTGGTATTGGGAGGATGAAGTGAGTGAGTAAAACAGTATAAGGAATCGGCTCTGAATGAACTGCAGAAACGCAGACCCGGTGTTATGGAATGGGGTCAGGCTGTTGCTTTAGGGTCGCTGAGAGCTTTTCTAAGTTTGCGTGGTCTGTCAACAGATTGAGCCAATGGGTTATTGGTAATTTCTTTTTGTCTTTCCAGTTGAGTAATCTTTTAGAAGTCTTTTTTGTCCAAAGTTATTGCTATCAAAATGAAAGTCTTGAGATGGTGTGGGATTGTGAGTGAGGAGAGATCACCTAAAAGCTCTCCCATGATCCTGACCAAAACCGTTCAACAGGTGTGCAGAGCCAGAATGCATGGAAGTGGTTGTCTGTTGCAGAGGAACAGTGTGTCCAGGTGTTGTTATCAGTGAAGCCCATTAAGTGCATTTTGTTGCTACTACTGCTTTTACATTGTGCTACATTTTTGAGATTATTTAAAGTTGTTGCCCAGAGGACCAATGCACACTGATTTAATTTTAACTGCTCTGAAAGCTGAGCATGGTGAAATGAACCAGTGGGTTAACAGAACTGTTGGCTGTCACTCCCCCTCTTTGGGAGCTCTACTGCTCCATGTCTGCAGACCACCAATTATAATGTCATGAACATTTGGAGTAAAATGTACTATACACCTCTGTTCGTGTTACACACTGTGAATGGCCTTGAAAATGCTATTATGGGTCCTTGAACAGGAAGTTTTAAGTAATATGTTTAACATACACTGATCAGCCAAAACATTCAAACCACTGACAGGTGAAGTGAATAACTTTGATTCTTTTGTTCCAATGCATTGTTCTGCTGGGAAACCTTTGGTTCTGGCATCCATGTGGATACCACCTGACATGTTTCACCCACTCAAACACTGTTGCAGACCAGGTACCCCTCTCATGGCAACAGTACTCCCCAATGGCAGTGGCCCCTCAGCAGAATAAGGCACCATGCCACACTGCAAACATCGCTCAGGAATGGCCCAAGGAATGTGACAAAGACCTCAAAGTATCAACCTGGCCTCCAAATTCCCCAGATCCCAATCTGAATGAGCATCTGTGGCAAGTGCCATTAAACCACCTAACAACCCACTGGACTAAATGGATCTGCTGCCAACACACTGGTGCCAGACACCGCAGGACACTCCCAGAGATCCTGTGTCCATGCCTCGACAGGTCAGAGCCAAGTCTGATCCAAGGAGGCCCCACCTTGGATTAGGGGTACATCTGGGGTACCGGTGTAACTGTAATTTCATTTTCTTTGTGTATTCTTTGTCTTTTCAACTACTTTAGATGTCTAGACCTCTTAACCTCCCACCCAGATACAAAATCCTGCAGGATACGCCAGTTGTGAAACACACCCTAGGGGGGCGGCTCCCCGTCGCAGACAGAAGGGTGTGAAACACATCTTAAGAGGTGGTCCTCAGGTATAAGTGTTTAAGCTTTCCCATGCTCTGGGTCTTTCTTCATTCTGACCGCTCGTGTGCTGATTGACCTTTTCTTTGCAAAGAAAATAAAAACCTTGTCGGCCAGCAGAAGTCTCTATTTCATTCTTCACCAGCAGCAGCAGAGAATTTTCCACAACACCGGCACATCACAAGAATCCTTGAGCAGATTGGGACCTGGGGAATTTAGAAGCCAGGTTGACACCTTGAGCTTTTTGTCATGCTCCACAGGCCAATATCTAAACAGTTTTTGTAGTGTGGCATGGTGCTTTTTTCTGCTGGGGGGCCACTGCCACTGGGGAGTGCTGTTGCCATGAGGGGGGGTACTTGGTCTGCAACGGTGTTTGAGTGGGTGGAACATGTCAGGTGGTATCCACATGAATGCCTGAACCAAAGTTCAAGGATTCGACCTGTCTTCTAAATTTCCAGGGTTAATGGCACGGAATTTGCAGGCCAGGTTGATACTTTGAGGTCTTTGTCACCTTCCTTGGGCCATTCCTATGCAATGTTTGCAGTGTGGCATGGTGCCTTATCCTGCTGGGGAGCCACTAAAATGGGGAGTACTGTTGCCATGAGGGGGGGTACTTGGTCTGCAACAGTGTTTAAGTGGGTGGAACATGTCAGGTGGTATCCACATGAATGCCAGAACCAAAGGTTTCCCAGCAGAACAATGCATTGGAACAAAATAATCAAAGTTATTAACTTCACCTGTCAGTGGTTTGAATGTTTGTTTGTATATATTGTTGTATGCAGATACATAAGAAAAATGACAAAATGAATCTTGAAAAGTCATGAAAACATTTTTAAAATTTTGACCATGAAAATGTTTGGCAACACTGCAAATGTTTTAAGTCCTAACAGAGATACTATATATTGATACATAGAATATTAAGGTCCTGCCCCCGTTCTGTCATTTGAGATGTCATGTCCCTGAATATGAGAGAAACTCATTAAAGTGGGTGCAGTGTCACATGTTTGTCAGCAGCTCTCCCCAGGCCAGCAGACATGCTGGCAGTGACTGGGCACTCCAACACAGTGAGAAAATAAAAATGGTCGAAAAACAACTGTAAAAAGTGATTAACAGTTAAAAAGAGTAATCCAAGAGTTGCCTCATAACTTCCCCCCTTGTAAGTCTGATCTACTTTATATGACTGGTTCATTCCTCCAGGACTAACAATTTTTCTCTTTTCCTCTGAAAAGGTGAAGTACGACTTCCTGTATGATCACTACCACGTGTGCTGTCAGGAGAGTTGGCGCTCTCTGACTCACAGGCAGGCGTACACCACCTTCATCATGGTGGCTCTTTTCCTGCTCCCTCTGACAGCCATGCTTTTCCTCTACACACGCATCGGCATTGAGCTGTGGATCCGCAAGAGGGTGGGCGACTCCTCAGTGCTCAACACCATGAATCACAGAGAGATCAATAAGATCTCACGGTAGGTTAGACAGCACGTGTGCCTCCTTTACATATTAATGCATTTTTATCACATAGAAATATTTTTACATCATCATGCCCTCTGGTAGTATGGATACAATTCCTCTGAGTGGCGTTTTTAACTTTGTTTTGCATTTCAGTGTACATAGTTGGCTGTGGTTGTGGGTGGGAAGCTGGCTAGGGATCATGCCGTTGTAGTTGCACTAGCAATTCCTACTTGTTGCTCCTACACCTGCAAAAAGGGGATGGAGAGACTGCAGTTGCTTTTCAGTCACTAGTTTAGTTTAGCAACCTAATATATTAAACAAACAGATCACCTCAAAATTGAAAATACATATTTTTATTTACCTGTGGTGCTATTTTTCAGTCTAGATCTATTTGGTGTGAGTTGCTAAGTGTTGGATATATCAGGCATAGAGATGTTTGACTTGTGGTGCTCAAAGCACCAAATATACATTTGAAAAACTCAACAGCAATGTCCCTTTCCAGAAATCATAACCTGGTTACCCAAAATAATCCACAGACCCTGCTGTGAGCAGTTTCATGTCGAAACTATTTTCTTTCAATTGAACTACACCTGCCCACCATATCACCACGCAGGAGGAAGCATGCATTTTCCTGCTAATTAACTCACCTAGTACCACTGAGCTATATAAAGTAACAGCTCAGCTCAGAAGGATGGCATTAATAATTCTGATTCTGATATGAGCAAGAGACTCTCATCGATGAGCAGATGCACATTTCTTTGAGCACAACAAACTGAGTGCCATCAAGTTTAATTATATTCAAGGGAAGGCCGACATCTATACATCATTATCTCCAAAACTCAGAATTTTTTTTTGTGCTTTTTATAGCCACAGTGTTATATTTTATCATTTCTAAGGAGCTGTTATTTTTTATATGCTGCTAAGAAGACACCTCAGAAGATGGGTCACTTAACTCCATCATTGTTCAAAGTCTAACAGATCATACCTTGCGATGTTAGTTTTGATAAATAAATAAATTAAAATGAATAAAATCAAGGACATTTCCCTTTTCTGGCATTTCTGGTATTGAAAACTCGATACGACAACACTGTTGTATCGAGTGGAACCATGAAATTTATGAAATATTATACCCCGAATAAATAGCCTCGTTTCCACCAAACACTTTCGGCATGGTACCTTTGGAACCAAAAGTAACCCTTCAGACATGGTACCTAGACCCTGGTTGATTTCCCACTGGAACAAGTCAGCATGTCTTCTGTGATCTTTTACAGGAAAAAGAAAAGAGCAGTTAAAATGATGATTACCATCGTTCTGCTGTTCACCATCTGCTGGGCACCCTTTCACACAGTCCACATGCTGTTTGAGTATTGTAAGTATGAATGTGAAATGGAAAGAGGGACTATTTCTTGACACAGTTTAAAGGTTCTGTAAATAACTTTCAGAAAATCCTTGTTATTATTAACACCTTTATCTGAGGCTGTTAAGTGAACTACAGTCAGCATGGTGCTTGCACTCCGTAGCCGTAAGCGAGAACCTGGGCGTCGGCCAAAACTGTTACTGTTTACAAAGTACATTATCAGCTAATATTAAACCAACCATGTAGAATAGCGAAGTTAAAGCTACCTGGTTAACATTTGCTCAGTAGAAAGCATTTTGTACTGTTAGCGTTACATCATTTATCGTTGACTAAATCAACACAGATTGTCAGCTAACATGATACACAATACAAATTTATGTATTATAAATTTGTATTGTGTATCATGTTAGCTGGGGAAGTAATTTGGCAAGTAAGACATCTGAAAAATCCCCTCAGATAATATTTTGCTAACGATAACGTTAGCAAGCAAGCAAGCTAAGGCTACCCTGGTAAGACCATCCTGATGACGTTAGTTTAATTTGTCTATGGAAGCCAGCCAGCTGTAACTAAGCTAGGCTGCATTGATCTGCTGTTGGTTGCTTTGTAATGTTAGCTGATTAAACGGTAAGGTAGCGAATTTCACAACCAGATTAGCCCTGGAATCTGGATGAATTTAATAACGTTCATCATCCAAGATGGTATTTTGCTATGTTAGCTAGCAGTTTGACTGCATTAGCAAGCAAGCTGACGTTAGCTAACATAGCCAGCTACAGCCACAATAACACCGTCGGTTAGTCTTTCTGCTAATGTTAGGATTTCTTTTAAGCACCGGAGGGCACTGAAATTTTGATAAAGAGCACTGAATGTGATGCATTTAATGTTTTCTCAGACCACAGTTGAGACAAAAAATAGCTGGTTGCATAGCCCGAGGACGCCTCACTCCCCGCCGCTAGGACACTATTTCCCTGGGAAGTGAATTTGCGAATTTTAGGATAGTGAAGGAATTGCCTGCCTTACTCTGCCTTATTCTGCCTCTGATTGGCCTATCCTGATATTTTTACCCTAACAAATCCCACTTCTCTTGCCTTAACCTTATCAATCCAATCAATGTAGGCAACAAGTACTAGCCATTCATAGACAGAGTAGGGGTCATTCCTTGGGTCATCGCTGATTTGCCTTGCATTTACCCCCAGGAGCAGACAGCTCAAGTTCAGCCAGCGCAAACCCCAGTCCCAGGGTTCACAGCAAAGACCTAATATGTAAGGACACCAATGACGTGTGCTGATTGGAGGCAAGAGGGCAGTTTGGGATTAGACTCCTGGCGCTCAGGGTCTCTGTCTTGTTCTGGCTGAATTTGAGTTGCTACAAGGGGCTAAGTGGTGGTCCATCTTTTCCGGGTCACAGCTGCAAACATTTATAAAATGGAAACAGCATTTGCAGACTCTATGTTGTGGTAGGTGCCATTTGTTTGTTGACATTCATGGACTCTATTTTTTAGCTAACCTTAGCTACAGTTGCACACTGTTAGTGTTGTAGCAGAGCTAAAGAAAATCAAGGCACCCAAGAATGTGCATGAGGTCACGTCCTTTGGTTGTTTTTTTTTTGTTTTGTTTCTTTCAGGAAAATCTGGCCCAAGTCCACTGCCTGCAGGTCAATCCACAGGCTGCATTAGAGGCAACCAGGAAAGTCGGGGAAAGTGGCCATTTTTTAAATTGTGTTAGAAACCGAATAGTTCTGGTAAAAAGTTACTTACAGGACCTTTAAGTGCGTATTGCCATTTTATTTAAAGTCTCCGTGCAGTTCATCAGTTTGAGTTTTAAACTTCCTGTGTGTTATTGTCAGATGACCTGGAGAACAAATATGAAGGCGTCACACTGAACATGATCATCGCCATTGTTCAGGCCATTGGGTTCTTCAACAGCTTCAACAATCCCATCGTGTATGCCTTCATGAACGAGAACTTTAAGAAGAGCTGCGTCTCCACCCTCTCCGACTGCATCCGAAAGCCTAACCAGCACGGCAGCGCCATGGTGGCGCCAGAAATCACTGTGCAGTTTATCAAACCCCAAAGTAGAGACGCCTTCATGGATTCTGGTGAAGGCACTAGCTCTAAGCCGAACTCAGAAGATAAAGGACCCGCATGTTCATCACATGAAGAGAGCTTGCTGGAAATAATTGGAGAAAAAATGTCCACTATCCAAACAGTGCTCCCCGCAAACAGCTCCTCTCAAGTCAAATGAGAATTGGCTCAAAGTTCAGGAGTTGAAGTCGACCCCCTCCCCCTGTTGATGGAGCAGCTGTAGGAGCAACAAATGTGATTTCAGGTCTCACAGTTGTGGTTCAAGGTCCCAAAAAGTCCAACAGCTTGGAAACATATCTCTGAAGTGCCAGGGGCAAAAGCATTTTTTCATTCTGGTTTGGAGAACAGCAGAAAGGAAATTAAGGAATTCCAAAAAGAGGCACTTTTGCTGTGAAGACTACCCCTGGAGCAATCACAATCAGCAGTCAGACACTGAACAACCAATTTGTTAGAGAATTTCTCTGACTAGAGAAATCATTTCTATTGAGATATTTCTAAAATCTGCAGGACATTCAGCCTCTCTCAGTAAATGCTTAAAAGTGTGTCAGATGCAACTGTGTTCAGTGTCATCTGAAAAAAGCATTTGACGGTCACCACTGTAGAGTTATACTGAGTATGCTACACTGAGAACTCTTTGGAAAAAACATCATAGAGGACTTCAAAAGCTTTCTGCCTTTAAGAAGCAAAGGACGATGCCTCAGCTTTTATTGCACTGCTAGATTTGCGTTAGTTTAAGGCAGCATTGAAGTCAGTTCAGGTTCAATTGCAAAACATCATCTTTATAAGGTTGCTGTTCAGCTTCATAGATTTGTTTATTGCTTTTAAATCTTTTGGAGATAGAGATCGATGATTCACACAAATTCAGTCTGATAATGAAACACCTCTTATTGCCAGCAGGAACAAACATCCGTGTACACTTTTCACTTCTTTCAATTGAACAATTTAATCATTTTATATAATGTATGAAAAACTATTTTGACTTTTTTTTAACTGCTATATAGATAGCCCAAATAGATGCGAAAACAACAGCCTTGTACTTTTTTCTCCAAAGGTTCTGTATGCAACATTCAAAGCATTAATATAGAAGCAAACCACTATCTGCTGAAATGAAGTCATGCTACCTCTGTGTGTGTGTTGTAATCGGAGCCTCTCTGTGGTTTGTTGTGGTGAACAGGTCCAGCCGCTCATTCATGTTAGTGCATGTTTGTATGTCAGGGGCTAGCTCATTGCTGCAGCTTTGCACTGTGCTCCTATGGTTGCATCTGATAATGGGATGCTCTGTCAGCACTGTTGCTGTTGTAAGCACTATTTATGGAGTTAGCACTGTTAGCTGCTAACCACCAGCTCAGCCACCATGTTGAGAACCAGACAATTCATACTCTCTGAATTTCACATAGAGCCCATTTAAAGGGTGCTTCTTAATCACCTTACATACGGCATGCCCTTTTAACATTTAATCAGCAGGACTTATAAGTACCAATGTAGTTTCACTGGTGGAGATGACTTTTCAGCATGTCAAAATGTCATTTTGACTAGTTAAAATATTAATTCAAGATATCTGTAAAACAATTGACACGTTACAAATATGGCTTGCATACTGCAACATATGACTGGATGCAGTAGGACATCCTGAGGTCTCATTTATAACCTTTAGGTATGCACAAAACTAGGCCTCAAAGTGGTATACGCCGCTTCCCTCACAAGAGTTATGATCTGTAAAAGACCAACTTGACAGGAGAATGTGTGCACCTGTACGGAAACTGTACTTGTGAATTGAAGCCAGATTGTAGAAATGAAATGTTAGAGGAATCCTTATACTTATAATGATTCTTCTAACACATTAAATTTCACTTCATATCATGCTTTAGTTATAAATCCACATTAATCAGAAACATTCAGTCAGACAGTTTTATTTGTGCCAGTAAGCCCATGGTGTGAGGCAATAAGTCTGATGCTGTGAACATATAAATACTGCAGTCACTCTGTTCTTGCATGATTCACTATGAAGAACGACTGATCAGCAGGGTCATTTCAATGGATCAGCATTCATGATGTGCTTTGCATTGGCTATTTATGGTTGAATGTGGGTGTGTAGAGGGCAGGATATGAGGCTTATCCACATGCGAACCATTGACTGAGCCCTGCTCCTTTGTGATGGTCCGACAAGCTGCCGGAGTAAGCATGGAGCCCACGCTGTAACTGGCTGCACTCCCTGAAGAAATATTATTTTTGAAGCAATGAAACAGTGACTCCAGAGAGAAGCAGACAGAGGGGTCTACAGTCTGTGTTTGAAGGATATAACCAGGATGTCAAACTGACTCAGCAGCAACAACAGGTTCAAAAGACAAAGATAGTTAGAAGCTAAAGCCGAACTATAGGCTACAGATCACAGTGTAAAAGTGAACCACCACATCACTGCTGATCGCCACACAAGACAATGAATATAAAGGGAAACTTTGCTGATATTGAACCAGCTGTGTGGCACCACAGTGTGTGCAGATAAACGTTGAAGAAAGCTTGCTGGAAACGTTGATGTCAAATGGAATAGCTGTAGGGGTCAGTTGCTACCAGTCACAATCACATTATGGACATGGTGGCTTGGAAATCTAACCAGTCAAATAGCACTTGTTGATATCTACAATTGCTAACAGTGTTGCTTATTAAATGTTAAGAGGACTTACTACACCGGTTTTAGACTCAGCTCTTTTTTTTTTGTAAAACAAATTTGATAATAAACAATACATATCATTTTATGGTTTATTGAAAGAAAAAAGGTCCAATTCACATGCACCAAACCAGTGCAGCCTTTTGATGTTATAATCATGACATGAATCACACCATCTTTCTTCTATCACTGGAAACATACGGCCATTTCACACACATGAACAGAAAACAAAAATGAAATAGGAATGGCAGCATTACACACACACAGGGGACACAATTATCTCAATGTGTTTGTTTAATGGTACTGTGAAATATTTTTGTAATGTTGATATTGACACAACTTAAGTGAATGTTTGGTGTTTACAAAAAAGTATGTTTCGTAACATGTTTTGTAACAGCAGCTTGGCTTTTATGCAATGCTCTGTGCAGATTGTTGTTTTTAAAGACGTTCATTGGAAAATCAAATCGTGATAATTAATTGAAAATTGATTGCTTTCATTGTTTTTTAAAATGCAGATCACTGGATCAGAGTGCCAGTAGGCTCTATTTTCAGCTTGTGTCAAACAAGTGTTGTCCTTGGATGACTGTATCAGTGGCATTTTGTAAAGATTTTGCTCTTTCTATATGCAAGAACAGGATTTTGCAGTAAATGAGGTCTTAATCCCATTGGTATATTAAATTTTGCATTTAATAAAACGGCCTGTTACTTGTTTTTTTTTTTTTTTTTTTTCAGCATTATTCAAATGGGGCCTTTTAATTTAGGGATTATATGCAAATTATCCGAGTGGGGACAGGGACTGAACCTAATGTTTCACTTTATAATAAAATCATGCCAAATGGTGTGATTTGACCAGTAGGACATGCTCCTGGATCAACATCCCACATCGCATTCCAGGATCAACATTACAATCAACCAATCACAGCCCTCAGACACCCACAGTGTGCTGCTCCTCTGCTTCTTTCAAAATTCCTTTATACTTCTTCAGAGCTAGTTTTCCAATTTGAATTTAATAAAATTGAACAAAATCCTCAGTAACATTTAACAAAAACCTGTGGGGTTAGCGAGTTAGCTTGCTAACTAGGTTGGCTATGCTAACTAGCAAGCTGTTCACTAACAAAGAGTACTACATTTTGATCCTGGATAGATTTGGTCAGGTTTATCCAGGACCATCATCATCATCACGCTGATTCTGGATAATTTGTTTATGTCGACATCAACATAACGATGATGGTCCTGGATCAATGTCAGCAATTTCATTCAGGATCAACATAGCCAACACTTTCTCACTCTAACCTCATCATGTTGATGTTTTGGTCACAGACTTTAACCGCCTTAACTTTTGTCCTTTTCCCACTGCGTTTCCCCCTGACACTGCCGGGCACTGTTAAACTATAACCTCAACCAGCCATGTATCATGCCAACGTTAAACGACACCTTTTCCATTGATTTCTGATGCCGCAAATCACTGCATGTTGTTCAAAATTGCATAAAAAAGTCATTCTACATTATGTCGTTCAACATTGCATAAAAAAGTAATAGCATACTATGGTATGTCGTTCAAAATTGTATTAAAACGTCATAGTGTAGTATGTCGTTCAAAATCACATAAAAAGTCATAGTATAGTATGTCGTTCAACATTGCATAAAAAAGTCATAGTATAGTATGTCGTTCAACATTGCATAAAAAAGTCATAGTATAGTATGTCCTTCAAAATTGCATAAAAAAGTCATAGCATAGTAGGTCATTCAAAATTGCATAAAAAAAGTTATAGTACAGTATGTCGTTCAAAATTGCATAAAAAGTCATAGTATAGCATGTTGTTCAAAATTGCATAAAAAAGTCATAGTATAGTATGTTGTTTAAAATTGCATAAAAAAATCATAGTATAGCATGTTGTTCAAAATTGCATAAAAAAGTCATAGTATAGTATGTTGTTTAAAACTGCATAAAAACGTCATAGTATAGTATGTCGTTCAAAATCACAAAAAGTCATAGTATAGTATGTTGTTCAAAATTTGATAAAAACATAGTATCGTATGTTGTTTAAAACTGCATAAAAACATCATAGTATAGCATGCTGTTCAAAATGGCATAAAAAAGTCATTCTACATTATGTTGTTCAAAATTGCATAAAAATGTCATAGTATAGTATGTCGTTCAAAATCACATAAGTCATAGTATAGTATGTCGTTCAACATTGCATAAAAAAAGTCATAGCATAATATGTCGTTCAAAATTGTATTAAAACGTCATAGTATAATATGTTGTTCAAAATTTGATAAAAACATAGTATCGTATGTTGTTTAAAATTGCATAAAAACGTCATAGTATAGCATGTTGTTCAAAATTGCATAAAAAAGTCAGTACATTATGCTGTTCAAAATGGCATAAAAAAGTCATTCTACATTATGTCGTTCAACATTGCATAAAAAAGTCATAGCATAATATGTCGTTCAAAATTGTATTAAAACGTCATAGTATAGTATGTCGTTCAAAATCACATAAAAAGTCATAG